GACCGAAAGTTTTGTTATTGGAACATTTGAAGTACTATTCTATTTTATAGGTTAGTCATTAAACATTTAAACTGTTTGTAATACTATTCTATTTGATAAATTAGTTCTAGAATAGACGAATTTATATAATGCACTGAATACTATATCTTGTTTGTTTTAGTAAAATATATGTTACATGAATAATTTCTTTCGTTTTAAAATTTTAAAATCATGATATGTTACTAATTTTCGTTGTATAGAGAAAAACTACATTTTTTCAATAATATAAAGAATTTCAATGCATTTTTTAAAGAGATCCAAATGAATTAAAATTAAAGTGGTGAAAGATTTCTTTTTATATAGAAAAAGAATAGCTGATCAAATATAATAGATGTAGTTTTAGCAAAAAAAAATATTTTGAGCAAAAAAAAAATATATATAATAGATGTAGAAAGTGATGCATTCAGCTCATAATGACACGTGATGTTCATCAATTTTGGTAAAATAGGCAACTCCCTCCCCACTATGTTACTTAATTTACCAATGATTATGGCTATATTCTTATTTAGTTGGTTCAATAGCCATTAAACTAATTGAACTTTTTTTTAAGTATGATGTTTTGATTTTTATTGGTGTTTATAAACAAAGAAATCCTCTATATATTAAGGTGTTAGCACCATAATTTTTCTCAGATTTCTTTAATTAAATCACATAATTAACCTATGTTATTCCAATTCCCAAACAAGTCTAATCCAACAAACTAGATAATTTGATGAATTTAAATCTAATTTCCAAACAAACTACAAATACTATTAAATAATCTGAATTATGTTTTCTTTTTTTTTTTAGGTCAAATATTCCTAATTCGTTATTCATACCATTAAAATTGGTAATTTCGGTTTTTTCTTAAAATTTCATTTATATGTCAATATATAAAATATTACATCTTCTATATATTAAATGAGAAACATTTTAAGCTATTTTTGCTTAGGTATTAGTCAAACAATTTTTTAAAGTTTTTTTTAATAATTAAATCCTATAATAATTATCTCCTACTATCCTATTATCCTACTATCCAAACACTCTTCTTAACA